CTCATGAACTCTCCGATGATCATTGTTTTCAACGTATGATGTTGCTTTGTCTCATCTGATGTGTAATGTGCATGAACCATTTTTGGATAGAATTATCAATATTCATGAAAAGTGGATTCTCTATGCAAATATTAAATGCCAAATACAATGGCTCAGTTCTAGGTAAAAACCACTTCTGACACCCAAACCTGGACTCCATCTGCAGAAAGTGATGCTTTGCATTTGGTGTGACATCAAAGGAATAACCTTAACAGTGCTGTGGAAGTAAAGAATCTTGGTGTTCTGGATCATCAGTCTTTTAAGCCATCCAAGCAAGGTGCTGTTGATAGTGGTAGAGCAAATAAGATTTTATATTGTATTTATAGAAATATTGAATACAGGTCTAAAGAAATTATAATGTCATGGTATAGGTCACTGGTTAGACTATATTTGAGTATTGTGTTCAGTCTTGGGTGCCTTACTTTATGGACGATTGATTTGTCAGAAGGGTTTCAGTGGAAGGCTACTGGGATGATTTTATGGGTAATAGTGATTTCTTCTGTAAAGTTTTATTACTACTTTTACAACAATTATATGTGTAAAAGTATACCAATTATAGCACATAAAGTATCCTAAATTATTTTTGTAAAGTTTGGATAGTTGAAAATATCACATTTTTCCTTTAATAAGTAGAGGGCCAAAGGATCAGATATATTGATAATGTAAACATTTGTGAAGAGCAATTAAATATTGAAATGTTAGTAAAACATTTTTAAAGTAATTTTTTTAACAGACCTTGCCATCAGCTCACTTAGAAGTGATTCCTCAAGCTGGACATATGGTAATGATAGAGGCAGCAAAAGAAGTAAACCATGTGATTGCCCAGTTCTTGGAAGCTATGGAGAAATAGTTTTTTTGATATTTGTAATTGCATCTATGTTAATGTGCCTTATTCTTTCTGTAATGTGTTAATAGAGATAAGTTGTGTCGGGTGTAGAATACACATACATGCATAATTTTGTAATTGTATCAAAGTTTTTTCAATGAAGTACAAATGATCTACATGTGTTTGCAAATCACTCTGGACAGTCATTTGTTATGATAAACTTAAATTTTCAGTCAGAAATGTAAATATTTTTATAAGTTCTTGTATTATTATTCGTTTGAGTTTTCAGAAGTTGAGTTTATTATAGATTAATTTGATTCACAATAACTTCTAAAGTAAGTAAAGCAATATTAAGTAAAAAAAAGTTAACTTATTTTTCAACAAAACCTTTTACTTGGTGGTTTTCATTTGTAAAGTGTGAGTTCACATTTATTGAAGATACTTTATTAAGTTTTATAATGAATTTTCTATTGGACAATTATCATTCTCTTTCTAGTATGATTACTTGTGTGTTGTTAGTTAATTGTTCGTATAACAGATAGTAAATTATACCTTTAAACTGCCAATATCAAGTACAAACTTAGTTTACATAAGTAGTTATGAATCAAAATAGTTTGAAGTATTAAAGCAGAATGTCAAAAAATGTCATTCCAATTGTTAAAGTAACACATACCAGAAACATATTTCCTTTTGTTTCTGATATGAATATTCATAGAAATGAATAAAAGTATTACTAGATAGTACAAAAAACTTCAGTAATGATGAGCAAGCTAAGAATACAAAGATAACTACTAAATACGTTCAATGCAAAGTATGATTCAAAGATTTTCCTCACTGTATAATGAATAATTATCATATTCTAGCCTTCAGGCCCAATTTTCATCAGTTTAGAAACTCGAGTGGTGTTATTGTATTATGATTTTTGATCAAGTTTCAGCAAAACTGAACTTAATGGGTTCATAGTACGAGTTAGCTTTCCTAGAGATTTGATCCTAATTCATATAAACTTTTTATGAAAATTGTTTAATGCATATAATGAAACAGAAATTGTATTTAGGATAACTTCTGCTGTTTTATTTTGAATGGTGAAGTTAAAATGTTTTAATTGTCAGAATGGAGGCTGTTCAACCATTTGATAACCAGTTTAAGAACCATGTCACATTCATAAAAACATTGTAAAAACTATTACTGTATTTTATTTACAAATTCTTGGTTTACACTTTTTGATAACTTAAGTATATTTACAAGATGATAATTTCAAAACTGAAAACATTTCGTAGCTCTGAGCATAACAAGAGTTTTGTGTTTCAAAAAGTATCCCAAAAGTTGTACATACTTTTTTGAAGTTCTTTTAGGGTTTGATATGTATATGTATCTACTTAAATATTTATCTGTGTATATTTATGTACTTAAATATTTACTTAATTTCTATAAATGCTAGCTTCCTATTTGTATTATGTTATTTTTTGTAGACTGTATTTTAAAAAAAGTGGGAAGAAAAAGAACTGAAAGCTATCCAAAGTACAAGATACTTTAGTATCTTCTCCATACTTTTAGCTGTATGCAAACATTATATCTGTTTTGATATAATGTTTTTTTTCTTTTTTAAACAGTGTTTTTAAAAAAATGTCTAAAAGATATTTCAAAGAACACTTGGCAACAAACAGTAATTAAGATGATAGATACATAAAAATTACTTAATACCTTAAAATTGGTTTATTGTTGGATATACAGATTATAATATTTACGGCTACAATGTTTAACCGGGTTAACCTGGAATCGTTATGTACAGCAACTGATGATGCCAAGCTAACCTGGTGAAACATTGTAACCATGAATATTATACTCTGGATATCTAACAATAATTAAGTTTTAGGTAACAGAATACTTCCTCTAGTCATTTAATTAAAACCTTTCCTAACATTCTGACTTGATCAACCTAATGGACTTAACAGATTTATGTTTAGCAGTTTCATAATAAGTAATTAAAACACAGTGTTTTACTGTATGTACCTAATTAAACGATGTTTGTTGAAGCTGTCAACAGCCTCCACTTAAAAAACACTACGTGTTTCAGCCATTTTCAGTAAAATATTGTTTTTAATTTTAAAATTACATGAGTGCAGATTATTCATACTTAGTTTAACAGCTTATTGTATCTATGTATCTACAAATATCTTCCTACCTACTCACATATAAGGCTTTATATTTACATGTATTAACTATCTATCTGACTGTGCCCGGCATGGCCAGGTGGTTAGGGTGCTCGTTTCGCAATCTGCAGGTCGTGGGTTCGAATCCCCATCTCACCAAACATGCTTGCCTTTCAGCCATGAGGGTATTATAATGTGACGGTCAATCCAACTATTCGTTGGTAAAAGAGTAGCCCAAGAGTTGGCAGTGGGTGGTGATGACTAGCTGCCTTCCCTTTAGTCTTACACTGCTAAATTAGGGAAGGCTAGTGCAGATAGTGCATCAATGTTGCAGAATCAGTATCATATCACTAGGTTATAGGCCTAGCCTGTCTGTATTGGATAAGCATTTTTTAGTGAACTTAATGGGCTCACTTGTGTTTTATCAGTTCAGTGCACAAGACTTTTTTCTCTTCAAAATTATACAAGTGATGTGCACAAATAAAACCAATATATATATATATATGGTTACACTAGCGTATAGCCCATCAAAAATAATGGGGCAAGTACTACCATCCCCAACCTATACTAAAGCCTAACCTCACATTTCATAGCTAACTGAAATAAGTAAATTTTGTGAATTAAGCTTTACCAACAAAAAGGCAGAAAAGTGTAGTCGAGGCAGTCAAACATTGGTAAATTCCTTTATGAGCCAATCAAAACTAAGATCATTCATGAAATGAATTCATGGTGTATCCATAAAATAATATAGATTAACAACTTCTAATATATAGAAACGCCAATACATTTTAGTAACACTACATTACAACAATGACTTTTATGTCATGTTGCTTAGCAACAAAAGAGTACCCAAATATTGTTGTTAGTCTGTGTACTGAAAGTATAAAATGAAATGTATAGACAACAAAAGTGGATAAATATTTGTTGATTTCTTAATTTAGAATCTCTGTTCACTAAAGAGGTTTGTTTTTTATATTAAAAATGTTGGTGATATAACAGGAAATAGCTTGATTTAGAAACGATTTAGATTTAAAAATATATCAGTATTTTTACTTTCATGATACATTTTATGCACTTAGTTCTAGGCCAGGTGCTCCCACACTACATCTTTACTATAGGCTTATTATACTGACACTCACTGCATTTATAAGGTTTGATGGCACCCCTTGCATCTCTGTCACTAAAATCATAATGGGTAGACAGTAATTGAACTATTCTATCTGTATAAATGCATTTTGGCTTTTATGAGTCCTCCTATTTCAAGAAATCAGACTTTTATATAGGTTAGATTCACCAGTTCTTTTGATATTAGTTTGAATGTGAAGATAACATGTCAGTTGAATACTTTATGAATAGTTACTTACAGAATTACTTTTAACATTCACATTTATTAACCACAGAATTCAAGAAAAAATCAGATTAATATTAAATTACATGAAGTGGTGATTTATTGAAGTTGTGTGTAATAGCATATAGACTTAGACTAAATTTAAGTTCATTATGTGATATTGAGTTGAGTACTTGGTGACAATCTTCCATGCTGCCCTTTATATCGAGACTGACTGCCTCTGAATACATAGAAGAGTTTTTTACTGTTTTTATCAGTGGCTTTCTAACTGTATACTGTTTTATTGATTCCTCATCTGCTTTTCCTAGCTACACCCTTCTTTCTGATTGGGCCTAGCATGGCCAGGTGGTTAGAGCTCTCGACTTGCAATCTGCAGTTTATGGGTTCGAATCCCTGTCCCACCAAACATGCTCGCCCTTTCAGCCTTGGGGGCATATAATGTGACAGTCAATCCCACTATTGGTTGGTAATAGAATAGCCCAAGAGTTGGCTGTGGGTAGTGATGACTAGTTGCCTTCCCTCTATTCTTTCACTGCTAAATTAGGGATGGCTAGCACAGATAGTCCTCGAGTAGCTTTCTGCAAAATTCATAACAAACCCTCTGAATGTTGATGAAGACCCTCCTTGGTTGCTGTTTTTTGCCTTACTAATGTAGAGGAGGTTAAACTACTGTCTGTAGAGTTGTGCAGGATTTGATATAGGACTTTACCCCTGCGTGATCTGGTACATCCAGGTGATAGTCTTATCATGTAGTTGCTTTCTTCCTACTAGCTGGGGACCAACCCCTCTTAAATTTTAGACAGTACTGCCTTCAGTCACATATATTATGTTGGTGTCACTGTTTATTTGTGGTTCATTGCTTTTATCAGTCCAGAAAAGAGCTTGATTTATGTCTACAACTACATTCTTTGCTGCTTATGGGAAGACTGAAAGCTCCACCAGTTTTATACAGAACGTGTTGATTCACCCAGCCAGCTTTCTCACTGTCTGTGGTGTAGAAACTAACCGAGACTGATAACAGGTGACTGTCTACCATGGTTTTTAAATAAGTGTTGACTGACATTTACTACTTCATCCTCTGCTTAGTCTCTATGTTTTCTGTTTAGACTGATTTACCCAGATCCCAGTGGTGCCAGATGTTTATTCCATGTGAAAGCATCTGAGATCTGATGGTAACTGATTATCTCATTTGTGTCTGTATAGCCCCTGTTTATCCAGCACTGTCTCCTGATTCATTGTATAGGCAATCCATTTGTTTGGTATCTGTAGGGCCATTGTAGAGCTGAAGTGTCCCAACTGAAAAGAACAGTGGCTTGAAATGGAATACATGTCTTTTACACTATCAGGCCTTAGTTAAGAATTTTGTTAATGAGCACTTTTGGTTTTCTCTGATGCATCTAAGGCTTTGATGGGGTGTGATCAGTCTTAAACAGGTGTTTTCTATTTTTTTCAGTCTATATAGCAGCTTAGCACTCATACTGAACATCGTTTGGAGCTGATTAGACTTTGGCAGAGCATAAGCAGGTGACAGTCTTAAGCTGTATTTCCTGCTGCAGCTTTAAATGCATTGATATTTATTATAGCTCTGGTTATCATGATGTTCATGTGTCTGGTATAGTTGAATTGTCTGAGATAAGTTAGTACCAGGTATTTTAGGGTTTCTTCCAGAAGGAAAGTTGTGCCAAGAAAGGAAGGGGAT